CACCTGCTCCATTTTGTCTGCTTTTTTGCTTGCTATTCTGTCTAGTTCTACCTTTGATCTATCCTTCACTTCTCCTGGTTAGCACCTTTGTTCTGTTGCACTTCCATGGCCTGTGATCAGATCAGATCTGTCTCAACCTCCAGCAGTATGCCACTGCTGGGTTACATTCCTACTTTGTGACTTTGCTTTATCGTACTGTTGTGATGTAATCTGTGCTATTGTGCTGCTGCCACTTGCTGGATATGCCTTCTCTATATAAAGGGTTATTGGACCCTTTCATGGTCATGCATCTGATCACAGAAACAGCCTCTCTACCCGTAGAGATAGAGGTATGGCATGTTACAGCATACCCTCCTCAGACCCTACCTCCTGGTGGGATATAGGTATGTTTGGTTTGGTTTGGTTTTGTTTACTTCTGATCACCAAATGTAAACATTTGGCCTTTCGAGAGGTTTTCACCAGATCTAATCCCTATGGAAGATCCAAATTAACTGCATTTGTGGCAAGTTAGACATGATTGACACTTGTACGGCACATTGAATGCGATGGATAAGATCCTCAGGGAATGTGCCATGCCGACAACAATTGATGATAGGGGGAGCCTAGCGCAGTAAATGGGCAAAGCGTCTACGCACCAGGCAGTGGGCCTATTCTTGATATATTTTTATTTTTTTTAAATCAAGGTGGCGCACATGCACCCTCTGGTTCTAATGTGGCTCCGCCAGTGGCTACCACCATTTTTGTACTGTTTCTTCACCATCAAAACCTTGCTCCTCCTTGGTCAAAAGCCAACGACAAATCAATCCTGAAATCTAGGACAACCCACCATTTTGGCTGTATCACCTTCTTGGCTTCCTTCACATCATTACTCAACTATACAACTTCACTATTTGTCACAATAGATGGTTCAAGTAGTCATATGGGGCTCCGCGATGCAGGTTTTACCTTTTGTTTTCAGTTTCGGCTTCTAGTTGTTTGGCTAGACAAACGTCAGCTCAAGTTTTTTTCTTTGAATCATTATCTACAATGTTTATTGGTTTATTTTGTGGTAGTCTTCGCTCCTCCATCTCTAGATGGTCTTAGAATTCATTCAGTTTCTGTTAACACATTGTGTGTTTAGTTCAACTTTAGTTTGGGTTCAATTTTTGTGTACTTAACAATGTTGTGGATTAGGTGTGCAATTCAAAGTCAAGATTCAATTAGATCATCATAATCAGAAGTCAAGGGCTCATGTAGTCAGGGTATTAGGTTCAATTGATTAGTCATTTGTATTTTATCTCTCCCCTATATATATAGGGGAGGGATAAAATACAAACCAACCCATTTGTACAAACCGTGAAAACCGTCGATTCCATTGTTTAATTTAGTGAAAAATTTTCATGAAATTGTTTCAAATAATTCATTTCTTGATGAAATTATTTCATATATTTTTGTTTCTATGTAAAAATTAAATTGTTTCATTTACATTTTGATGAAATTTGTTTACTAAAATTAATAGAGTGAAGATGATAATGTCCATAATTATTTGAAATGAATTATTTGAAACAATGTCACCATATTAAACAATTTCATGAAAAATATATATATACACTAAGAATATCCTCAATGCCTGGTGTATAGAGAGCTTACCCATTTACTAGCTTGGCTTCCCTTATCATCAATTGTTGTCGCTGTGACCCCTTCCTTGAGGCATCTGATCCATTATAGATTCACACTTTCTAGTACCGTTCTAAGTCATTCATGCTCTCATGATTGACAAATTCATGCTCTGTTGCTCGCCTACTTCCACCACTGCTCTGCCTCTGGCGACCGCTCCCCCTCTCCTCCTCTAGACGATCAATGGACAATGATCACTTAGCCCAGCTTTTTTCCACCAACGCTCGCCTCCTCTGGCTTATCCACTTCACCTTAGGTTAGGGATTTGAAAATCACTAACTCAATAGATTTTGTGCGTTGAGTAACCAATTTTGAATCATCTTTTTGTTATCATTTTATGTGCATAAATCCATGGTTTTCAAAAGTGTGGGAGGCGTACGCCTTCAGGTCCGTCTCAAAGCGAGACGTCTAACGATGTATCTAAAGCGGTGCCTCCAAAGGGTTCTCTCATGCGTACGCTTTGGTTGTTAGAGGTGTAGGCAAAAGCGGTGAGGCGGTGGGCGGTATCGAGGCGGTAGCTTTGGTTCTTTCCTTGTTTTGTTTATTAAAATACTAAAAACTATGTGTTCTCTGAGTGCTTTTTCTCAATAAATATATGTTCTTTTCCCATCAATCATAATATATATATATATATATATATATATTTCCTTATTAGCGTTTTCTTCTTCCATAGAGTGCTGGAATAGCTTGCAACACTTCTGAAGTAGTCCTTACATCAAAATGACCATCAAACTACCTCCACGTGCTTCTTGCACAAGCAACTTACGCATTGTATTTTTAGGCACACAAAGTCTGTTCCCTCTAAACAGGTACTTATGTAGTCTATAGAATTTTCCAAACGCTACTATCACATGCTACATACACACACGCAAAATCATCATCATTAGCATGCAATTCCTTGCAATATTCAAAATTCCAATAACTTTGCATTTAAAGTAGAGACAAGGCATGCCTTCTTGATAATGCATCGGCCATAATATTATCTTACCTTGTTTGTATTTGATTACACAAGGAAAGCTCTGAATGAATTCCAACCCACTTGCCTTCTATTCAGTTTACCTTGTCCTCTCAAGTGCTTCAAGGACTCATGATTGGTATCTAGGACAAATTCTTTCTGCCAAAGGTAGTCTCTAAGGTTCTCATCAATGTACAAAGCTCTTGTCCTATGTTGAGTAGTTCAACGCTGCCACATTTAGCTTTTCACTAAGATACAAAATTGGTTGTTTTTCCTGCATCAAAACAACTCATCTATTTTGGAAGCATCACACTCAAAGTTTTAGGAAAATTTAGGTAATGTCAATAAATAAGTGTTTTATAACTTTAAAATCCTGCTCACTACCCCATTTTAAACCTACATATTTTTTTAGCAATTTCTATGAGGGGTGCAACAAGTGTACAAGTTTTTTGGACAAATCCACATATACAAATTAGCTGAACCCATAAAAACTTCTTACCTCCTTGACTGATTTTGGCATGGGCCATTCCTTGATATCACATCACGAGTGTGGGGTTTGGTTTACCTTATTAACAGTAGGGATTCATTGCTCCTTGGTGGTTTGGTTTTGCTGTAAAAAACATCCTGTTCATCGTTCTTCCCATTTGACCTCCATGAAGTAGAAGAAGCTAGATTTTGAGATGGCTGAGTTCCTTTTCTTTTAAGTTGTCGTACCCCCTTTATTGCCATGTGTGCCATGTCCTCCAACTCCACGTATTGTTCTAATTTCATCACGTTGGTAATGTCCCGATTCAGCCCATTGAAAACCTTGCATGGTAGCTTCTCTATCCTTCTCTACAATTGCCCAAAACATAGCAATCTTTCATCTCCTTGTAAGAGCCATCCACACTCTTATAGCCTTGAGTACGACTATGCAATATCTGATACAACTCCCATTAATAGTGATGATAGCCTTCCTCTCATCCCAAGTCTCTACAGGCCTCTCATGATTTCCCTTCTATAGTTCTATTCACCACAAGTTGATCCCACCAAATAATAGCACCGTTAGTAAATTCAGTGACTAAGTTTTACCTTTTTCTTGGAGTAGTTGTGGCACTCAAAAAGCAGTTCCACTTTCTCTCATTCCAAGTATGCCTCCGGATCGTTCTTCCCTTGGAAAGTTGGTATCTTCATTTTGATGTTTCCCAGTTTCTGTCAATCCCATTTTGTCACATCGGATCTCTTCCGTAAACTCTACCATGCCTTACATCCCTTGCCACGAACCTGCCCTTACCACTTAATGAAGCCTGACTGTTTTCATCTTTCAACTCATCCCCAATTGTCTACATGAGCATACCATTTCGGATCTCAACCCAATGATTATAATGGAATCATGATCCGAACGTGTATAGTTTGAACGCCACAAAGGAAAGTCCTTGCCTCCTTGGTAAGTTGAGAAGTTTCTGGAAGAACCAATAGAAGAAGCATAATTCCCTTTCTCAATATTATGCTTCATATTATTCATACCATCTATCCATGCTATTTATATGCATGGTTTTAAAAAGGAACACGACACTAATTCAAGGAAAAATACCAAAATAAAAGAATCCTAATGAAATCAATCAAGCCTTCTAATCCACCATCAATCGTAATTGCTGATTAAGGACGTCCTTAATACTTAGTATTCTTTCATATTTCTTTGCACTTGTGTTTAAAAGTAGCCCAGATCTCTTGGAATCAACCCACTGATTGCTTCTTCGATCATCTTGGATCTTGCTTAATAGGCCCAGCCATGGATCTTTTAACAGACATTCGTTGATTCTACAACCAATTCTTTTCTTTTACCTTAAAACAAAGCAACTAATACCCACATTCAGTGCTAATGATAAAACAACAAGAAATAGGTCTATTCTTTGCTAAGTTGAATTTACAGGCTCATGATGGATCTTAGATGATTGTGAACTTGATGTTTTCTTAATATTTTTTTCAAGGGTTGGAAACTGTTAAATTTAGTACAGTTGTATTTTATTGGAAGCAGTCTAAATGCATGGATGCAACTGTTATCAGGTTACACGGTCTATTGGTGATGACGATCTGAAGCCTGGGGTAACAGCGGAACCAGAGGTTACTGAGACTGTACTTTCTGATGAGGATGAATATCTGGTATTATTATGATTTCAGTCTCTTTATGCTAAATTTACCATCTGCAACACATCTATTAAATCATCTATTTGATGCACCCGGTTTTTGCATCAGAATCTTTTTTAGCCATATCCCTCCAGGGACCTGTCATAACTAGATAGACGTTTTCAGGTAATGGCTAGCGATGGGCTGTGGGACGTTGTAAGCAATGCGGAAGTGGTTAGTATAATCAAGAAGACAGTGAAAGAGGCAGGGATGTGCTCCAAGAGATTGGCGATGGAGGCTGCAGAACGTGGCAGCAACGATAACATAACAGTTATCGTTGTGTTTCTTCGTCCAGTATCTACTGCAGAGAGAATTTACTAGCAAATGAAGGATAATATCAGGAAACTGGGGATGTGAATTAAAGAGGCAACAATAAGCCAACTTGTTGAGGGAGAAAAAGCTTTGTTTTTTCCAATTATGTCTTTGGTATTTTACCTAATAAAATATATTTCTTTTTAAATAAACTATCACGGACCAAACACTTACCCTGTAACTGCTTACGGGTAAAATTTAACACTATTATTTACTTACCGCGTAAGATTTTAGTCCACCAAAATGACATCGTATGCAACAATTTACCCGGTAAGCGCTTACGGTGGTAAGAGTCGTCGCCCTCACTTACTGGGTAAGACTCTTGGTCCTTGTCTCATTCTTACCGGGTAAGATTCTTGGTCCTTGCTATATTAATCCGGTGAGGTAACGTTACTTGGTAAGCGCTTACCCGGGTAAGCGTTTGGTAAACGTCCCCTATTCTTTCATTTTTAAACAAATCAACATTATTTTCTAATTTTAATCGACACATTATAGACAAACTACTTATTAAGCAATTTGTCACTTCCAACTTCAAGTTTCACGGTTATTAGTTGTGATGGTTGGTTTTTGGTTAACTTTATAGTCTTGTTGGAGTTGACGGAAATTTCGTTCCAGTTGTACGAAATGCCATTATTGACTACAATTCTATGGTTAAATTTGAAAGTGGAATGGTTCGGTCGATCCAACGGTTTTATATGTCTTACGTCAAGAATATTATGATTGGCATATAAATACTGAATAAGGAAATTTCAGTTTAACCTTTGTGAACATTTTGTAAATCCTTCATAAAGCCACTATACATTTCTAAAAGTTACTGATTAAAATCAGTTTGTCAACACCTCATTGTGTTTGATTCATTTTTCATTCAAGAAGATTTGATTTTTGTGTAGGATTGAATATAGACTATGTAATGTACTTTATCTGCAGAGTTACAGGCGGTGGATTCTCGAGAAGAGAGGAGCCATGGTGGTCCCCCCTGGACCGCCCGGATCCCACAAGTGAATCGCAACCCATTTTTTATTTTTTTCTACTAGTTAAACGTGTGGAATAGATAAAAGAAAATCTTAAGAAAAATTCAGTTCCCCCTTTAACATATTCTTTTTTTGAGTTCCAAGAGCCATATAAGATAGGAATCTCTCGAGTATGATTCTAAGGGAAGGAATTAACCCATGCACTCGGTGATTGTTTTATCCCGTAAAGCGACTTCTTTAATCTACAAACCTGTAACAACCTCAAATCCATACATTGCATATAACACATATTTCATACATAGAATACATGTTTTCCCCACAAAGGTTCATAATACAAGAGTCTATAACGTGAAATACATAACTCAAAAATTCAAAAAGTACATGCTCTTGTATCCTAGCATCTATGCTCCAAAAACATAGCTAATTTAGATCTTCACACAATAGGGAAGTAATTCACATAATGTTHTTTCCCTTATTATCATTACCTGCACACATATTTTTGAAAACACAAAAATGAGGGTTAGACATGTATGTCTAGTAAGGTTCCCTTTTTATGTAATGCAGGGTGAAGATCACCAAAACATTAATTTCAGATAATTCATTCCATGTAGTAAAGGCTGAAAATCGTATTCTGTTTCAAAACACTTTTAATCAAAATCAATGCCCATAGGCCA